CTCCTTGAATCAGTTATGTACATAACTATCTTTATCAAAGCTGACAGAGTACAGGACATCACACTCCTGCCTCCCAAAATTGCTTACTAGGCTAAGAGTTAATAAACCCCCTCAAAAACCCCAACCCAACAAACAAAACCAACCCAACCCAAAAAAACCCAAAACAAACAACAAAAAAAAACCACCAACCAACCAAAACAACACAAAACCCAAACCTCAAACAAACAAAAAGCTTTTTGTTACTTACTTGTGCACCTTAAAACAGTGCTCCATATAACCTGCCAAATACAAATGCATTGTCTAGGGGGTTTTAGTTTTTTTAGTTAACATTTCCAGAGCACATTAATAAAGAACATTCAAAAGCATGAGGTTTGAAGATCTTACACTTATTTTAGTAGTATTTCATCAACTGGAGCACGTTTTGAAATAGGAATTATCGTTTTCAATCCTGAGCACTTTCAGTTTGGCAGACAATATCTCAAAAACCTCTTTTCAAACCACATGAATATTGACTTTATTTCTTACTTGGTTGGACACGGTACACGTTAAAATAAATCCCTAACGCTGTAAGACATGACCTTATTTTTTCATAGATCATGCCCTATTTGAGAGCAAGAGATTCAGGTTGCAAAAGGCAGAAATAAATACAGAGCTGAGTTTTAAGCCCAGGGGATTTCTCACTGTAACAAACAGCACCGTGCTGCCAGAGGCATGTATGGACATGCCCCAAGGTCTCCCTGGCTCTCCTCCCAAGGAGGCAAAGCAGCAAAATGAAGAGTAGTTCTGGTATACTGTGTTTACTATATGTAAAAACATTGTTTTTGCAGAGCATAAATTGAGGATTATAGTTTTAAACAACTGCTCCAGGGCCAGACTGAATACTGAAACTCATCTGACAAAAAGAAGAAAAGGAACTAGGGCTCTATGATGCTGAATTTGGACACTTGATGCATATGGAGTCCTGAAAATCCTATTAAGCTTCTCAAACCCGTTTTTTTTGACCAGGTGACCTACTATCACAACTACCTTAATAGCTTTGAAAAAAAATGGGATATAAATATTAAAGGACAAACATAATTTGGGAGAAAGGTCCAACTCTATGATTTTTAAGTTAAACATCCACTGCAGGCAGAGTAAAATTCTTCCTGTGTGCAATGCAAAACCTCACAGTTACACACAAAAAAACATTCAGCAGAAATTACTTGTGTGCAAACACAATATTTCATTAAATGAGCTAGTTGCAAACTGGCCAGATTATAGCTAAGGGTAAAAAGAGTGCTCCTCAACTACCTTTTGGATTTTGAAACACTAAAATTATTGCTGGTACAGCTTCAGGAGGATGTCAACTTTATATTCTTTTTCTGACTGTCCTAGAAAAAGATAAACTGTACACATAATTGGAAAAGCTGTTCTACTGCTAACTAGAGAAAAGTTACAAAGCAATCAGAACTTGACACGCAAGAAAAGCCAGACTATACATATTCCTACTCTACATAAACACAGGAAAAAGCAAGTATTTCAGAACAAGGAATAGCTTCATCTACAAATAGAGTTTTATGTATTTTTACGTATGCTAAGGGAAATAAGTTTGAACAATGGGAATCACACACCTGGAACAGTTTTTCATAGCCAAGATATAGTCAGTGTTTCTTAACTAATTATTTAGTTTCGAAAATAATGGATTTCAGAAGACATTTATTTTAACAACAGCAAAAGAAAAGTCTATGAAAATGGAACTCTTTTAAGGTGTCTGACATCAGGAATTCAGTATGTTTGCCAGCATTCAAGACTGATGCTGCAACAAGTTTTGTCAGTGGCACAGGAGCTGAGAGACCCACAGGTTCTGTAGTTGGAGGCTCTGCAAGCACTATGGTGACACCAGGTTAAAGGGAGCAGGATCAAATCCCCCTGGATAGGATAAGTATACAACCAAAGGGCAGTTTTTGAGATTTGCTGCTGAATGGTTTCATCTGAAGAATGAGTAGGGCAACTAGATGGTAATGTAATAGAGAAGCTTAACTGGATCTCCCCTGCTATCAGCAGGAGCAGGATATCTCCCACTTTTCCATCCCTTCTGCAGAGAAGAATTTAAAAGCTCTGCCCCCCTCTGCTGCAGAATTAACGCCTTACTGGATAAGACTCCACACCTGGAAGTGGAAGGAAAAGTTGTTTCCACCTCCATAAAAGAGCTAGCTTTTCACCTGGGAATGCAGGACCAGAAACATTTAAATCTTTCAGGATACAGTGACTTACACCAGATAGGCAAATATATACTGAGGTAAAATTTCCCAGAACAGCTACTATTTCTAAGAGCTATTAGTCTCCTGACTATGCATAAATAGCAGTAAGGTAAGTAAGATTAGTGTAGTTACTCCACTAGTGTAGTTACAAAACACCTTCTGTTTTAGTGAGTGAAACACAAGCATGCAAGAATGAACATTTTCTGATTTTTTGATTGTTTTTTTTTTTTTTTTTATCCTATTAAAAAAGGAAGAAGTACTATCAAATCTTGGTAGCAAATCCTGTTTCAGCCACTGTGGTTCATAAGCTCTTTATATCTGTTTTAACTACTGCCACTAAGCACCAACTTATCCTTAAGTTCATCCCTTTTCTACTTTAGAAACATCTTTTAATCAATAAAGTAAGAATGCTGGAAATCTCTTATTCCAATCATTTGAGCCATGATCCCCCCTCACCAACACTTTCACAAAGCCATTATGAAATCTCCCTTTATACACCATGTAAATCAAGCAAAACAGAACTAGAGTAAAACTAATATGGACCTCCACTTGAAATAACTGTACTTCCAACTAATGCTGATTACTGTCAGATTCAATATAAAAACTAAAAGCCCTCCCCTAGGCTGCAAAAATTGTGAAATTGGCACCTGAAGGTGGAATTAGAAGCACAGAGCAAGAAATCTGCAGTGAGTTTGTTGAAGCCACCACAAACAGGAAGTGGTTAGCAAAAGGAAAACCTTCCCTGTCAAGTGGAAAATGAGGAAAGATCATCATTTTAATAAACTTTATTTTGTTCTCTTCCCCTTCCTCTTTTAAACTCATACATATATATATACATACACATATATATGTATGTAGAATGTGCTCGGAAGTAAAAGAGTGGAGCTTCAAAAATCACTCATCAAACAATTGTGCTACTTTTAATAATTTGTTAAAGGTCCTAAAACAAAGATCAAAAGGAAATATATCTAAGCATTTATATTCAATTCCACATTGCCCGATGACTAATTTGTAAAGAGTGCACAAGTCTTCACAACTGCAGCCAAAATCATTCAAGGATACTTTGATATAATGCCACAAAGGATATGAGCAGGAAGGCAGCAGGAGTTACAAATGGCCAAGTTCCATTAAAAGTGCTAATAAAAGAATGATGGAATTTCCTTGTACTATGAATAAAAAGTGTTTGGTACAGGAGAATCTAGACATAGAGAGGAATATCAGAGCTTCTAGTTCATCAGTTGTGTCTCCTTACTAGATCTTACTTGACTTACCATTACATTTACCTTAAAATGCTTCAATTCCAAAAAGCAACAATCCCATTCAAAATCTCATCAAACTATTTTCCTTTATTCTTCATGTTTCTCTGTTTTCACAGGCCCTTAATATCTGCTTTACCAACCCTTGTAAATAATGTGAGACTATCTGTAAAAAAGTACTGTGAAGTGACGGATTTAACTTGAAATTATATACAATTTTTAAAATTACAGAATATACCTACTGATTGACAATATTTTTTTTAAACCGTAAATTTTCAAGCTGCTGTTAACTACGGAACTCTCATAGCAACAGCCTATCTGACAAATTTCATCCATTAATTTACACATTGTACTTCTTTCTCACAGACGTATGTGCAGTTACACACATTTATGCGTGTGTTCATACAAAGAGAGAGGTGCACACACATACACAGCTCTGTCACCTTCTTCTCCCAGATATAAAACTTAGCCGATTTTTCCAAAGTATTTGGTGCAGGGCCAGGAACAGAAGAGGTAGAGTTCAGAACTTTCCTTTGAAATGTCCATACAGCAACAGAAATGTTTCAAATCTTTCTTTGTTTTAATGGATACTTGAAAAATCACACACACACTTCACGTAACAGAAGCAGCAAAGACAGACGTTTCGTGATGCTGACAAATTGTTAAAGAGTTTTGTGCACTTGCTCAAAAAATATGCCCACAGATGCATCCAAGACAGGAGGAACTCCCCAAAAATATTTACAAACCTACTTAATTCTCCTTCAATTTGCTGCTTAATGCTCTCTTTTGCATAAGGTCTACAAGAACCCCATGAATAGTTATAGCACAGAAATGCTGTGATCTCTGTCTCTTGGTTCTCCAAAATCTTCTTGTACCAGCTTTATTTTTTTAATGCACATTGCAATGTCTTTAGGGAAGTGACCTTCTTTTTTTTTTCCCCCTACAGCATGAATTATAATATGTAATTCATTTTTTTTACCAGAGTTTCCAGACTTCACAAATAAGGATCAAGTTACAATGTTTATGTCCATTTCTTCTTCTTTCCCCAGACAACCACCAGGCTGCTAGCAAAGCAGCCTCTTTGAAACATGCTCCCAGAATCAATAGATAATTCACTAGTATCATGTATCTTAGGGCCTAATTGACACAACTAAGGTTAAGCAACATAATCAAGGGTAATACAGTTATATAACAGAGAGCAAAAAAAGAGGGGAATCCAATACCACATATGGTCACTTTGCATGATTTAGTGTCAGTCTGTAAATTATACTTCTATGAGGTTAATGTGAATCATGGGTTTCGCAAATCAGAAAATGTGCCTTTTCAAGCTTTGCTTGGAGAAGCAAAAAAATATTTATATGATAGCAAAATTTAAACAAAGTGAATACCCTTGCGCTTTCCATTTTATAACTTCCTCTCATTTTTGCATTAAACATGATATAGTTATCACAAATGTTTGGACTTTTTCTTAGCAACAAATATAGGTAGCATATTTTTTTCTTACCTTATGATCATATGGACTGTATGAATGAAACAGCTGGGACAGATCCTTTGTTCTCTGTTTTTTCTGTAAAGGAATATTAATAAATAGACCATATTAGAAAAGTTAAGGGAGAAAGAAAGAGACTACTGATTAAAAAAGCTGTATTCAGGTACAAACACATTCTCTCCCCACTTTGTTAATGGAACTGTAGGTATGAAGAGTGGTGTATGCAGATTAAGTATATTAAATATTACAGGAAATAATTAACATATATATTAACAATGTTAAGAAAATATCCTTAATAAATAATAAACACTAATCTGTGGAACATCAGTTGAATGTCTAAACAATTCAGATTAGATTTAATTTTGCACAATAAATCATAAATAATGTTTTAGAATACAGATAACAGAACTTAGAGATTAGCTACAATCTTGCAAAGACTTGTCTGCCATTCTAGCATGTACATGCAGTCTCGCCTTATAGGAGATTAGGTTTAAAGGAAGTCAGTTAAAAGAAGAATAATTTATTATTTTTCCATTTCTTTTGATGCTAATTCTCTCATTGCCTTGATTGTGGAAAATTAATAGGTGATATGCCATTTAATGCCAAGGCAAAGGGAAAAAATTTTCTTCTGTCAAGAGCATAGTTCAAAGACAAAACCTACTTAATCCACCTTCTACTGAATTTAATGAAAGAGCTTTCAGTGATTTCAGCTGATGCTAATAGACTCTCTCAGCTGCATCCTATGCAGTGGGGGCAGGGAGAGAAGAAAAACACCCTTCCCCTTTAAAGCAGGGATGAGTCACAAGTAAGTTCAAAGTTTTATTATGCCAAAATCAATGTTTACTTATCTCATAGTTCGGGAAGGCTACGCGTGTTGGAAAATTGGTAAAGGGGAGACAAGTGCATGAAGTTTGTACCACTGTCTTATTTAGCCATCATTTCTGTCAAAGCAGTTTTCCAGCTCAATTGAGAGGATCTGTTTATGTTTTCAGCATGCTGGGAACTAAACAGACAGCTGCATGACTGCAGGATTCATTTCAACTTCTTGCAATTGCAATTTAGCAATTTTTGATTGTACACGATGAGCTACGTATTTCCTTTCTTTACACAGTTTTTATTTTCAATAAAGCACTCAACAACTTAGTCATAAAAGTGGTAACTTGTATTAATAGCACAAATTTATGACATCTGGATAGTTCTGAATCATTGAAGATATCAGATTAATACTACTACTTATGTCAGGCATATACACCTATGCTTTAGACCACTAAAGAGTCAAGAAAAAAAATTTTTACTCACTACCCCTCTTTAAGGTGAGGGAGAAAGGTAAATTTGGTTCTCAGTATGCAAACGTTACTTCTGCCATTCACAGTTCTATTCAGTTACTACAATTAATACCTATCAGGTACCTTTGCCATAGGAAAGATCTCCCTTAGTAGAGTAGATCTCCCTCCCCCTCTAACCCTCATTTGATATTTCCTTTACTTTCAGTGGGGAAAAAAACCCCACGCTCAAATGAAAGCATCAATCCAAACTCCAAACCAACCAACCTACAATTGAAATCACCAACATACAATGGCTTCTTTCCTGGTAGTACCATTACACACAGGCAAAATGCTTAAATTATGATAAAGATGATTTGGAGAAATGTGATAATAAATTCAAAGGAGATATCGGAATGATTAATAAAAATATTGCTAAAAAAACTTATTTAATGTTGCATCATGCAAGAAGACCAAAGCATTTTACTATGGATTATGGAGGCCTTGACTAATCCTTCCAGGAAGAAAACCCTACAAAATTCAGAAAAAGTCTAACTCTTGCTTTTTGTTACTGAAGACTATGTCTCTTGTATTCATTTTGACTGCAACAACTTTAACAACACACAATAAAACTGTATGACCGAAAATGTCTTTCACTCTCCGACTCTCACCAAAATGCTGGCTACACACTCAGCTAGACTCGATGAAGAATGGAGATGGCTTCCCTTTCACAACACACTAATAGTCTTCCACATTTTGTTATAGAAAATTACAGTTACTTTCCTGCCTTTCCACAAAAAATCTGGCTTTTGTACAAAACCAAAACACTCCTGGACAGGGGAAATGCTGGAAACCCATAACACAGAAGAACATAGAATAAAACTTTTTGAGATGCACATGCAAAAATGTCCCAGAATTCCCAGGATGCCCCACGTGCTTAGCTGATATAAATCTAAACAGCATTCGACTGTTTTGTATGGACTTTGAATACACAGAGATAAAAATGCCTTCAGCAGAGAGTTAAGGTTGCTTAGTGATAATTTGTGTCTTTCTAGAACACCAAGTGCAATTAAACTCAGATCTCTAAAAAACAGAAATATAAGACATTTCAAAACACAGAGACTAAGGACAGAAAAAGGAATTCATCCTGCTCTAATGGTAACCTCTTCAACAGAAAGTACTTCAGAAGAATAATAAATGCTAAGCATTGTAAGCTCACACATGTATTTTGCATTTAACTGGCAATCCTCTTTTCATACTCAGGTGATAATTACCTGTCTTTCAGATGATTTTAATGTAATGTAAAACTTGTTTGTTTTCCTTTCAAGCATGGCATCGTAGGTCTACAATGTTTATTGTGAAGGAGAACTACGATATTGCCAAGGTATTTTTATTACAGACTACTTAGAAGCTACTTAAATGGAATATTCTCAGTTTTCATCTAGGAATAAAAGGGACAAAATTAGTCCTCAATATGAAGGTATTACTCATTTCCTTTGGACTTAACTTTCAATTTAATAAAGTCTATTTTCACCTTCAAAGTTCACAATAATTTCAGCCTAATACTGTGACAGATCTGCAGATTCTAGCACTCTCAGCCTCAATATATCGCCAGTAAATTTCTCCTATCTCTGTTTTTTTGCTCCCATGAATTAAAATCCCTCCAGTAATTGGGGCTGCCTTCAGCAACAAGGACATATACCTGTTCTGTTCAAATATTCTTCTTTTCCTTCATGAGTACAGTGATTAATAACGTGTCAAGGCACCCAAATGAATGTCTTTATTTCAGTTCTCTTCCCTCACCTACCAATCTTCTCCCTCATTTCTCTTCTACATACTGGTGACCAGAATTAATAAAACAATTTTATATTGCCACCAGAACCTTATTTAATTTAGAGCTTACAGACCATCTCACACCCTTGAGTAAGCTAACAACCAATAGCAATATTGTGTTTTCCTTTCAAACAAATTTGGAAAACCACAATACCTCCTCCTGCAGTATCTCATGGATTACATAACTAAGAGTTAAAACCACATTAAACTTAGTGAGTCAAGGAAAAAATTAACTTCGACAGGCTCTGGGAGAAGAATGAAGCAGCTTTGCAAGTATTTTCAGTTTTCTTCACCAGTATAACTGAAAGCACAGAGACTCCAGCATAACAGATGCTTGCAAAAACCGTAACATTGGAGCTTTCTTTTCTGAAACAGCAATGTCTAACATGTTTTGTGCTACGGCATTCTCTAACTTCAGCAACATGCATTTGCTGACCAGTAACAAAGCTGTGTCCTTCTTTTCCCCCACATTACATCTGTGACCTCAGAAACTTCCATAAAAGAGAATGGAGCTGGGAGCACCCTATATAAAAACACCAACTGGACTAACTTCAATTTCCAGAGAGTTACTTGGCAAAACACCAGCGAGAGAGACAGTAACTCCTCCAATCAAGGCACATTTAAAAGCCTTGCTTGGAGATTCAATCCATAAAGCCTTAAATCTATGCACCTCTAACCACAATACAGATATGAGCCAAGCCACTGGAACTGCCACGTTATCAAAGTTTGCAGATTGCTTTTTGTTCTGCAAAACAACTTTCAAAAAAGCGATCAGAAACCAGTGAACCGATTTCTTTTGACCTTGAGTTATTCAGTGCATCACCCTCTTAGAAATGATCCTGAAAAAAACATTGTGCCCCAGCCAGATTTCTTGATAAAATCATCATTGGTGTTCATTATGCTCCTGCATCTGTGCCCTTTAAGGTCCGAAAGGGTAGAAGTGACAACATGGGCCTGACAAGTTTTCTGCTTACTATAGCTAACTCACTTCTACTGATATTCTTCCTGTCCCTCTGATCACAGCTATAATGAAGCATACCAAATAATTCGGTGATTGGCTAGTCTTTTTGATCTCACCTACCTGACTTACTATATTAAAACAGTCGCAGTGTTCTACTTTGATTACTGACACACACACACATATTCAACTTGCTTTACGAAACTCCTTTCTAATAGTTTTTTATCCATACATTGAAAATACCATGCCCTGTACCGTGTGTTATGCAGCACTTCCCCTCTGCGTTACAGGAGAGTGGACATTTTTTCCAATTCCAATTAACAAGAGAACTATAAACTGATAATTCATATTTTGCATACTCTTCTTTTATACTGAGTGATTCTTTCTAAAAAAATAGAACAGTTTTATGATTTCATGCAATGAGTTTTTCTCTAAAATGGGAAAATATATAAAATTGTACACACTTTTACTAATCATTAATACTAGAAAATGATTGCAAACATTAAAGCGATCCTGTCCTCAGGATTAGAGTAACACAAATAGTCATGCTTTAGTCTAGTTTACATTTTATGTAGAGATTCTGATTTATGGAAAATTACAGATATTTTCAAAAAACAGCACAGGATCTTCATAAGAACATCTGCCAACCTATTTGAAAATAATTTCTTGAAGGATTCATTTTCAATTAAACCATGTGCATTACAATTTCCTCCTTATCTCCCATATAATTTCAGCTATGTAATACAAACTCTTCAAACCCATATATTTTACAAATATTGCCGAATTTTATTCCTCCTGGTACATTTCAGTTATTTTAATTTAGTTTAGGATTAATTTTTTATTCTTGTCATTTTTTCATTAGAGAGACAGGCAAATCACCAACCACGTGAAGTTTAACAAGGACAAGTGCCTGATTTTGTACCTGGGATGGGGCAATCCTTGTTGTGTTTATAGATTAGGGAACGAGACGCTGGAGAGAAGCGCTGTGGCAAGAGACCTGGGGGTCCTGGTTGATGGCAAGTTGA